TTATATATTTCATTCTATTAAATATGAATCGTTTCATAATCAGAAAATGTTATAAAGAAATAGAAAATATCATTTTACAATATTAATATCATTGCATAATATCAATAATTCGTTCAATTACATTTATTTATAACCATGAAATAATAATGAAAATATTATGAAATAATATATCTTCAAATTAATAATTAAAAGAAATGCACATCAATATAACTCGTGTTTAAAATGAAAATACATCATCATCCAATTTGAATGAATTGAATAATACAAAAATTATAAGAGAAAATTAATGAATATAAATATGAAATAATAAAAAACAATCCAGTTGTCATTAGTGATATTTGTGGTTCATAAATTAACAATAAAAATGAAAGAAATAGAAAATGAAATAAACATAAAAACAATACTAAGAACAATACAACTGAAAAATAACATATATCAATTGTAATGATGGAAGGATTGAAAATGTAAATATATAATAAAATACATCAGTACAATACTCAAAAAATAAAAAGAGTAATAAATAAACAAACAATACTTTTAATAAAAAACTTCTCAAAACAATAAAAAGATAAATGTATAATTAAAAAATCATTCATTAGATTATTATTTTAATCTAAATGATTTTTTAACAAAAATGCAAGATTATTTTTGTTATTTAATAAAATGAAAAATAAAAAAACAAAAAAAAAATAAATAAACAAACAATGGAAATTGAGAATAAGACATTATCAGAATCAGAGATGAAGGTATTGACAAGTATTGCCAAATATTTAAAAAGTGAACAAGATCTGATTAACTTTGTGATGGTATGTAAATCTCATCAAAATGTTTTAGATTGTTTTTTTTTTAATCCTATTAGTTCAACTCGTCTTTTTGTTAATTTACAAGAACAATGGTTATACCACCCTTGGGACCAAGTCACTTCTAGAGCTAAAAAAGTTATTTTGAATTACCCAATTACAACAAAAGATTATAACTTAATTAAAGGAAATAGAAATATTATTTGTAAACAAGTTAAGTTTACAAAACAAGACCGTGAGAATTTAGGAAATAAAATTCCATCAATTGTAAATTCAATTGAAGAAAAGTGTTTTGAACAGTGTACTGATTTAGAACAAATCACATTACCAAGTAGAATTACATCATTAGGATATTCTTCATTTAGAGATTGTGTTAAATTGTCCAACATAGAATTACCAGAAAATTTAATAAGAATTGGGTCTTGTTGTTTTGACCATTGTACTAATTTAAAGTCATTAACAATTCCTAATACTGTGAATTACATTGGAGATAATGCTTTCTTTTGTTGTAATTCTCTTACATCAATTTATTTACCAACACATCTTACTTCTTTAGGAAAGTCATGTTTTTTTGGATGTAATAACTTAAAAAATATTTATGCGTCGAAAGAAATTCAAAATCAATTGCCTTATTATTTTTCTTCTTCTTCATTTGCAATTTAAATTTATATTTTTTGTTGACTTTTTCTTTTTCTTAAAAAAAATCTCAGAATCATAATGAACAGAAAGAACCAAACTGGTTTAAAGCTGTTTAGTCAAAAAGAAAATGAATGAACCCTTTTAATAAACTTCTAAAAGAAAGAATTGAACAAACCGAAGAAGAAACTCATGAAGAAGAAATTAAAAAACAACATGAAGAAAATGTTTGTATGAAATATTTAAAAAGAAAACAAACAGAGAAAGAATATGAAATTTATCAACAACTTACATTAATTGCTTTACTTAATGTTTATTGTACATTTAAACTTAAACGACTTCCTAAACAAACAAATAGAACATTATTTGTACCACGAGTTATTTGTTTAGTATTTAATGAACAAATTATAGATGTTGAAACATTAGCAACAAATAGTTGTAAACAAATATTTAAAAGTGATGTTGAGGAAGGGATTCAAATTAATACAGCCCAAAAAAGATATGATAAAAATATTAAAACGTTTATATCTAATTTTCTAATAGACACTGCACTAGAATTAGGATTTACTTTTGATTCAAAAATGACACGATTATCTGGAAGAACACTAAGGTTTGAACGAGTACATTGTATTAAGAGAGGAAAAGAATTAGCTATTAATCGAAATGGGATGAAAACAATTGGTAATAAAATGTATCGCTATATGATTGAACATTATCATGACCTTCCTGATGTTGTTTTTGAACAAAATGATACAGAAATAAAGAAAATTGTAGATTTTTCAATTCAATGTGTTGATGTGAAACAATAACTTTTAAGAATTAATTCGTTCTTAATAAGTTCAAGTTCAATTTTGAGTATTAGAAAATAAATACAAAAAATAGTATAAAAAAGAAAGCCACAAAAAATGAATTTTTAAAAATAATAAAGGCCTTAAAAATGTCAAGATCTTTAGGAAAAGACAAGACGAATCGCAGATATTAAATTTACAATCACACACTAACATGTCTGATAATCCAATTCCTAATGGATCAAAGTTAACAAATGAAGATGCAAGAAAAAGAAGAAAAAATTCATTAGTTAGAGAGCATGGAGTTAAAGATGATATGGTTTTTCAACAAGCAGTTTTAATTGGATTAGCAAATAAATTTTGTGGATTTACTATTGAAAATCCATCTAAAATGTCTCAAATAACTGCAACATTACCAAATATATCAAAAATTCATACACAAGATGATCTTATTGATGTTTCAACACTTGCAGAAAAACAAGCAAATGATTTATTAAATAAATCAAAACACTTTTTAGTTAAAGAAAAATCTTTACAAAGAAGGATAAAAAAGAATATTATATATTTTACACAAAATCTATTGATTGATTTCTGTATTGAACATGGGTTCTTTTTTAATTCAATTTATTCAAAGAAGAACCCAAAGACCTTTCAAGTAGAACGAGTTCAACAAATATTTTATAAGAATAATTTTTTAATGAAAAAAGATGAAATTCAAAGTGTTGGAACTTGTATTAATAATTATCTTCTGAATATTTCACATGGTAAAACTTTCTTTCTTCGTCAAAATGATGTAGAAGTACAAAATTTATTAGCTCAAAATATTACTTTATATTCGTTTGTCTGTAATCATTAAAAAAAAGTTTTTAAAGATTTTTATCATTTTATTTTTAGAAACGTCAGAAATTAAAGAAGAAATAAACGATAATAAATGAATGTAACATAATTCTTTATATGTAATTATCTCGGTAATTCTTCTCCTGATAATGAACAATCTCTTTTTAAAATATGTGCTGAATGATGTGATACTTCTTTTCCACAAGCATAACAAAATCCACACCCACATCCACCTTTTTTTAAATCACATCGAATAAAATTACATCCTTTAATTTTTTCTACTGGTATTTTACATCTTGGACAACGAGTACAATGCATATTAACATATTTTTTAAATTCTTCATCTCCTCTTCCATTTTCAATTTTCCATTGTTGGTATTGTTTACATGAATATCCTTCATGATATTCTTCTTTACAATTATAACAATAAACAAATGAACATTGTGGACAAACAATTCGTGGAGTTTTTCTTGTACCAATAATAGCATATCCACATTTTGGACAATATCTAGTATGTGAATCACTTCTTAAATTTGCTTTAACTCCGTTCATTTCTAATTGATTTAATACGTTAGTTTCTTGAATTAAACCATCATTTACAAGAGTTGAAAGAGGAATAATTGTTTCACATTCTTGTTCAGGACATTTAATTTCCCATTCTCCATTTGTAGCTTTTTGTTTAACATGTTCAATTAAACAACATAAACAAAATCTATGTTTACAAGGTTCAATAGAATACATTAACCCAACTTCTCTTGTTTCAAAACAAATTGGACATTCTTCTGTTTTAGGTTTATTAAAGATGTTATTTAATGAACATTCAAATGAAAAATATGAACGAACTAATTCAAGTAATTGAATTATATTCTTTTCGATTTCCTTTTCGTTTGTTTTAATCATTAGATGATTTCTAATAAAATCTTTTAATTGCTCATTTTCCATTTGAATAGACAATTAAATAAATAGTTTGTTGTTTAAAAATAAAAAAAATATGATATAAAAATAATAGTAAATTTGTATTAACTTATTTTACTTTCTTTAACACTTTAAAGAATAGAAGGAATAGTAGTATTTGAAGATTGTTGATGTTGTTGATCAATATCTTCATCCATTTCAAAAATATTTGGAGAAATAGATTTATTAATAATTGTGGATGTATTTTGAATAGGAGGTTGTTGGTTTGATGTTGTTTTTGTAAGAGGGCTATGACTTTTAATATCAAAAGATGGTTCTGTATTAACATAAAGATTATTATTATTAGTAGTAAAAGAATTTGGTGTTAATGAAATTATTGGTGAATCATATCTTTTCATAAAAACTGTATGTGATTTGTTTGATGTTGGTGGAGGAACAATTGTAACATTAAGTCTTCTAGGAGTAGGTCTAATAAACATACCTTCTTTAATAGAAGTTGCTACATCATCAATATCAGTGATATGATGATTTCTTTTAGTTAATTCAGATTCAAGTTGTTTAAGAGCATCTTTTAATCTATCACCAGTAGCAAATATTTCATTTAATTTTTGATTATCATACCTATTACTTTCTTTCTTTATTTTAGCTATTTCATCTTGGAATTTTGTATTAATTTTAGTTGCATGTTTATAAATATTTTCCAAATCACCAACACCCATTTCTAAACCTTTAGAAATATTTCTTAAATTATGTTCAACATGTGGTAATAATTTAGTAATTTCATTTGGAAGAAAAGTAGTTGGTTGAATCATTGGATTAATAACCTCTTCACTACAATATTTTTTATAAAGTACTGAATATTCACACATTTCATTTGGATAATATGACCCCCACGTTGCTATTAAATCTCTAACTTTTCCTTCAACAAGACTTACTTTAGTATGTTTTTTTTTCATCTTTCCAATTGTTTGAAGTAATGAAACAAATGATAAATCAGCAACTTGAGTTCTAAATTGTGGTGATTTTTGTGCAACAAAATCAGTAAGAACAAGAACATTATACATCTCTCCTTCACTTATTTTTTTCTTTATATAATCACTCATTTTATGTTCTATTTGAATTCTTAATGCAACTTCAGCTCCATCTACTTTTTCAACAATTCCACAGATTGTTCTCATTTCATTTTCTGCTGGTGATTCATATATATCATTTGTAGTATTTGAAACTAATTCACTTAATTTTACTGACATCCTTTGCTTATTTTTAGTTTTTCTTGTTATTCTTCTATTTCTTTTCTTTTCCTTTTTTTTTTTTCATTTCTATAAAACCTATATTTTTTAATTATTATTATTATTATTTATTTATATTTCTTTTTACTGTAAAGTTTAAATACCTACTTATTTTCCATTCTTACTTTCTTCTTTAATTATTTCTTTTAACATCGTTATTTTCTTCTTAATTAATACAAAAATAATGAAATAATAACATTTTTAAAGTAATTATTATTATTTTTTCTTGTTTTTTTTTTATAATTATTAACACTGTTTTTTTAAATGAGTCATTCATTCAAAAAAAAAATAATTTCTGTTGAAATAAATCGAATAGTTTTTCTTTTATTTGAAAAAGATAATATTTTCAACTATTCTTTGAACTATTGAATTATTTCAAAAGTAATAATCAATGAATTAAGTGTAAATAGAAATTTCATCTATTCTTCCTTAATGAATGAAGATTACTTTTATTCCTGAATTGTAATTAAAAAGAATAACTTCTATGATTTATTTATTCTTTAAGTTTTCAAGAAAGAAATACAATAAAAAGAAAAGAAAATATTAAAAACATCATTTAATAAACAAGAAAAGAAAGAAAGAAATAAAAGAATCAATTAATGAAATTTAATAGAAGTTTTAAAACGATTTAATGAATGATAATTTAAAGGAATAGGATCATCATTTTCATCACAACTTAATAAATCAGGATCAGAAATATCATAATATATCCAATTTAAAGAAAGAGGGATTTCATCAAGATTAATTCCTTGTTCATCAACTAAACATAATTCTTTTAAAGAAGATAAATATTTTAAATTAATAATTTCAATATTATTACTATATAATATATCAAGTCTAAATAAATTCAAAGGAAGATTAAAACGAATATCAATACAATTAATAATTGAAATAGTTAAAAGATTAGTAAATTGATTTAATGAAAGAATTAAATTTTTAGTGGAAGTTTTATTAAGAGTAAAATAACGAAGAGATTGAGGTAAATTAATAGAAGGTGAAGGAAGTTCAGAAATAAAGAGATAATTAAGATAAATATAATTTTCTAATTTATTTAAATCATTTTGAAGAGGTTTTTCAAGAAGTAATTGAGTAAGAGGTAAATAAGAAGGAAGTTGGTTTCCATTACAATGAAGATAACTTAAAGAAGAAGGATAAAAAGATTCAATATTCCAATTAATAGTAACATCTTCAAAAATTAATTCTTTTAAGTGAATTAAAGAAGAAAAAGAATGAGAAATAGAAGTATGACCAATTTTTAAAGAAGTTAAAGAAGTTAAAGAAGGAATAATAGAATAATAATGATTATTAGTAAATAACATTTTTAAATTAGAAGAATTAGAAGAAATAATTTGAATATGACAATCTCTTAATGATAAAGAAGTAAGAGTAGAAGGTAATGTTATTTCACCTTTTGCATTAACTAAAGTTAAATCTTTTAAATTAGGTAATATTTGATAAGGAATAGAATTAGCTTGAAGAGAAAGAATTGAATTTGGTAATAAAAAAATCGAATTATCTTCATAAGCAATTCTTTTTAAATAATTCATTTTACTTAAATCAATTGGAGTATTATTTTTACCAGTAAAAAAGATATTTGTTGGTAATATTTTATCTATTAATTTAATATCAAATGCATCTATTTGATCAATTTCTAATTTACAATTTTCACATAAAGGAATAATACTATTTGGCATTGTATCATAAAGATATTCCATTGCAATATAATTTCTTTTAATAAAATGTGGAAATGCATTATAAACTTTTTCCATTTCAAGGTCACAAAGAAATACTAATACAATTTTATCTATTGGAAATGAAATTAATTCTTTTAAAAATGGTATATTAATATTTTCTGTTAATTTTATTCTTACAAATTCAAAATGATGTTTTGAATTTGTAAAACATTGTTCAATTGCATTTTCATCTACTTCAATTGTAATTTTTCTTAAATTTGGATATTCTGATAAATCAATTGGTTCTTGAATTGTTATATTCATTGATATAATTTTTGATTTATCTTCTTTTGTTAAACATAATGGTGTATTTAATGTTATTTTATCTATTATAATGTTTTCTATTGTTTGTGGTAATAATTTCATTAATCCTATACTAAACGTTCCCGGTGCAAATTCATATGTTTCAATATTTGGAAATAATTCAATTTCTTTTATTATTTCTTTCATTAATTTAATTTTATCTATTGAATTCGTTACAAGTTCTTGTGTACTTTGATTTTTATTAAAATTTCTTGTAAAACATGGATTAATTTTTAAGAATTTCATTGATTCTAAACATTTTTTATTTATCATAGAAAATTTATAACATGTCTCTATTGAATCAATATATAATATTATATTCGCTAAAAACACTGATTCTAATCTAATCATCTTTTTACTTCTGTTTTTTTTTTATTTTTTTTTTTAAGTTTTTTTTATTTTTTTTTTTTAAGTTTTTTTTTTAAACATAACTTCTTAATTACTCTCCTTTGTAAATAAGAATAAATAAATCTTCTCTTTACATTTTATTATTTAATTTGTATTATTTCTTTTCTTTACTTTTCTTTAT